AAGGTGGGGTGAGGGCGGCGAGCCTCTTGGGACCCAGCCACCCTCACCCTCATCACACGGCTGAGTCCCCTGCCCCCTTTTCTATTTAGTCACCCCAGGGGACAAATGGGGGCCACTCTCTGCCCCAGACTCCCTGTCCACCCTTGGATTCCTATGGGCCCAGGGGACCTGAGCCCTTCCTTCTTGGAATCTTTTTTCTTTTTTCTGGCCACACCACAAGGCATGCGGGATCTTAGTTCCCTGACCAGGGATGGAACCCGTGCCCCCTGCAGTGGATTCTTAACCCCTGGACCGCCAGGGAAGTCCGAATCTTTGAACCCAGGATACCGACTAAAAGGAGCCTGTGATGCTCTGACCAAGTGGGTTTGTTTGTTTGGTTTGGTTTGTTTTTTGGGCCATGCCACGTGGCTGGAGGGCTCTTAATTCCCCAACCAGGGATGAAAACGGGGCCCATGGCAGTGAAAGTGCGGAGTCCTAACCACTGGACTGCCAGAGAATTCCCAAGTGGTTTTTAGACTGTGTTCCCTGGAGCCCTAAGAGTGCTCTCCCTCCGTTATCCTGAGCACACAGTTTTAGTTCACATAGGAGTTCTGCTATAATATTTTAATTGAAATATATTTGAAAGCCTCCGGTTTGGTCTGCTTGGACGCAGTGAGAATTCCGTGTAGCAGAATGGTTAGAGTCCTGGTGCCCACATTCCTACCTCTGCCCTTGGGCAAGCCACTGATCCTCTGAACCTTCCTCTCCTTACATGTAGAATGGATTGTATGAGGACTAGGTGAGGTCATCTGTTTAAAGTCCCTGGCAAAGGTCAACTACCCCAAAGGTGATGATGATGGCCCAGAGAGAGACAGCGACTTGCAGGGAGATGCACAGCATCCTCTCTCTTCTTTTCAGTCACTCGTGCCTTCATTGATTCACCAGGCACCCACTCCACGCCTAGTGGGACACTGGGGACCTCAGATGGACACTGCTATGGAAGTCAACCTGGGTGCCGCTGGCCACGGGCCCCGCACAGAGCTCGACGATGAGGACTACCCCCAGGGTGGCTGGGACACGGTCTTCCTGGTGGCCCTGCTGCTCCTGGGGCTGCCAGCCAATGGGCTCATGGCATGGCTGGCCGGCTCGCAGGCCCGGCAGGGAGCAGGCACGCGGCTCGCCCTGCTTCTGCTCAGCCTGGCCCTCTCTGACTTTTTGTTCCTGGCGGCAGCAGCCTTCCAGATCCTGGAGATCCAGCATGGAGGGCACTGGCCACTGGGGACGGCCGCCTGCCGCTTCTACTACTTCCTGTGGGGTGTGTCCTACTCCTCCGGCCTCTTCCTGCTGACAGCCCTCAGCCTGGACCGCTGCCTGCTTGCGCTGTGCCCTCGCTGGTACCCTGGGCACCGCCCAGCCCGCCTGCCCCTCTGGGTCTGTGCCGGGGTCTGGGTGCTGGCCACCCTCTTCAGTGTGCCCTGGCTGGTCTTCCCCGAGGCTGCCGTCTGGTGGTACGACCTGGTCATCTGCCTGGATTTCTGGGACAGCGAGGAGCTGCCACTGCGGATGCTCGAGATCCTGGGGGGCTTCCTGCCTTTCCTCCTGCTGCTCGTCTGCCACGTGCTCACCCAGGCTGCCGCCTGCAGAACTTGCCGCCGCCAGCCCGGCTCCACAGCCTGCCGAGGCTTTGCCCGCGTGGCCAAGACCATTTTGTCAGCCTATGTGGTCCTGAGGCTGCCCTACCAGCTGGCGCAGCTGCTGTACCTGGCCTTCCTGTGGGACATCTACCCCGGCTACCTGCTCTGGGAGGCCCTGGTCTACTCTGACTACCTGATCCTGCTCGACAGCTGCCTCAGTCCCTTCCTCTGCCTCCTGGCCAGTGCTGACCTCCGGGCCCTGCTGCGCACCGTGCTCTCCTCCTTTGCCGCAGCTCTCTGTGAGGAGCGGCCGGGCAGCTTCACTCCGGCTGAGCCACAGACCCAAGCGGCCTCTGGGGATCAGACTCTACCAGGGCCAGTGGCTGAGGCCCAGCCACAGGTGAACCCCACAGCCCAGCCACTGTTGGAGTCCGCGGCCCAGCCACAGTCAGACTCTCTGGTCCAGCCTCAGCTGAACCCCAGGGCCCAGCCCCAGGAGAACCACGAGGCCCAGCCCCAGCTGGATGCTGGGGCCCAGCCACAGGCAAGCCCTGAGGCCCAGCCCCCTGGAGCCCCGGCCAGCTCAGCCCCCAGCCCCTGTGACGAAGCCTCCTCTGCCCCCTCCACGGATTCCACCCCAGAGGCCCCTGTGAACCCGGCCGAACCTGCTGCCTCTGAGGGAGAAAGCCCCAGCAGCGCCCCCCAGGAGGAGGCCCCGGGTGCAGGCCCCACGTGAGAGTCTGGGAAAGCCAGGGCCGCCAGGGCAGCAGAAGAGCTGGGGAGACAGAGGAACCAGCCGGTCAGAGGACGACGGCTGCCGTGGAGGAAGTCCTCATGGAAAACCCCAGCGAGCCCCTTGGCCTGGCAGACGGACTTGGGCGACGTGAACACGAAGCAGCCAAAAGTCCCGGACAGTCTGTTGTGAGCGTCATGTCCCTGCCGGATCCCAGCAAGCTCCTCCGTGCTTGGCCCACACACGGTGGTCCAACGGTCCCCTGAGCTACCACAGCTGATGGTGCCCTGCCGGGCTCTGCCCTCCGATGCCCCCCAGACCCCACGGACAGTCTCCCCTTAGCCTCGGCCCTGCAGGAGAAAGACTGGCAGGGTGACTTCTCTGGGCTTGATCTGACCTCCCCTGATCCTTCCCTCCCTGCCCCCCTTCCTGTCCCAACCTCTAACCTGGATACGAGGAGCCGAAGAGGAAGTCCCTGCAGAGAAGGGAGCCATTCATCAGGAGCCCAGGGTCTCAGGAGCCCACAAGCTGGCCTGGCACGGCCAAGCCCTCTCTGCCAGCCCCCTGCACCCAACAGGCAGTGGGGCTGGGGCAGGACTTCCCTCAGCAAGGTGGTGGGCGCAGAGGCGAGAGCTAGCAAGCCTGGATTCAAATCCGGCGCTGGGTGACTCTGGACAAGCTGATTCACCCACTGAGCTCCTGTTTCATCTGGCATTGTGAGGATTAAATGAGAAAGTGTGTGAGGTGCCTGGCAGGAACTGGCACACAGTAGGGGCTCAGTGAACAGGGCCTCTTCCTTCACGGACATCCAGGGATGTCCCTGCAGGGGCTGGGGATGGATTGGAGGAGGTGCCACCTGGCCTGAGCATCTGGGATCCTGTGAACTTCGGGGCAGACCATGGTGCCCATGACCAGCTCTGGGCTGCAGACACCCAGGTGGCCTGAGAGAGCATGTGCCCGCCTCCGTGCCTCGGGCAGCTCCAGGGGACTTCAAGGTCTGCTACGTTTAAGGGTTCGAGTGCTCACCTGCCCATCCCCCACCATGGAGGAGGTACAGAGTGCCCTTGTCCTGCCTCAGCCTGAGCCCCTTCTATACACTCAGCCCAGATGCAGAGATGGGAAGATGTCCAAGCAGAGAACTCTGGGGACCAGTGGCTCCAGAGATAGCACAGGCTCCTTGGAGGTCACACGGTGTCTCTAGGGCAGAGCCAACCTCCTCCCTCTTAAGCTGCAGACACTGCTAGAGAAACTAGGAAGTGCTGAAGGTCTATTTTCGGACCCCCCACGCCACTTCCTTTTCACACACTTCACTCTCTACTGGCACTCACCCTACCCAATCCCCAGGGTTCCAAACTCATGAACCCTTTCCCCTTTCACCCCCTGCCCCCCCACCCTTTCCCATTAGCTCAGCGTTGTGACCCTTAGAAGCTGAGAGATGTCCTTACCAGTAGGTGTAAATGACAATGACATTTTACGTGCTACCCTTCCCAGGGGTGCCTGCTGTATAGGCAGACTGAAGTGGTGCAGTCAGATTTGGATTCTGGTTCCCAGGTCGCTCTTTGCCTCAGTTTTCTCCTCTGTAAAATGGGGTGATAACATTCCCTTTGCAAGTGTGGCTGTTGTGATCATTAACCAAACCCGGGGATGGAAGCATACTGGGTGGTGGTGTTGCTGATACCAGCAGCATAATCATAGCATTTCCTGCAATTGTGGGCACCGAGGCTGGTGGGAGAGATTTCTGGACAGGCACAAATTCGTTGAATTCATTCATCCAGCAAATATTTATTGAGCACTTGTTAGGTGCTTTTTCAGCCAGCCTTCCATTTTGGGTGGGGTTAGCACATGGCCTCTAGTGCCCCTCAGAGGTTGTTTGAATCCTGGTTCTCCACAGCTCACCAGCTGTGTGATCTTCAGCAAGGCTCTTGGCCTCTTTGAGACTCAGTTTCCTCATCTGTAAAATGGGGATCGTAATCATGGTTCCATTTTCTAAGAGTGTTAATCTCTGTGAAGTGCTCAGATCCTTGCCTGGCACACAGTGCTTAATAATTGTTAGCCACTCATTCAATTATACCAGTGGACACCCCCAGGTCTCACTCAGGCCTGGGGCAGCACTGACCCCCCAGAGCCCACGTGGCAGCATCCTGCCCACCAGGCATTGCCCCCCCACCCCGCCCCACCACACAGCCTCCTCCTCCACTTTCCAAATGCTTTCACACTCCCCACCCCATTGGACTGCACACTTCCTTAGGGCAGGGTCTGGACTGATGTCCCCCTTGCAGAGTGTCCCTCTTCCTTCTCCCAGGTAGGGATCCCGAAGCTTTTTCACATGGCAGGCAGATCAGGGACTAAATCCTCAGTGCCAGCCACCTGCCTTCAACTCTGGTCCATACTCCTAACCCCACCTCTTGGGGGACCTCCCTGGCGGTCCAGTGGTTAAGACTCTGTGCTTCCACTGCAGGGGGTGTGGGTTCCATCCCTGGTTGGGGGACTAAGATCCCACATGCCACACAGTGTGCGGCCAAAAGAAAAAAAAGATGCTACTAACCCTACCTCTTGGAGAGTGGGCCAGCCCCACCTCCAAGGTCCCAGAAGGGAACCCCACTCATAATGGGTACTTGCCATCCAGGAGAAAGAGCAGTGCCATGAAGGGTTTTGTGAGATAAAGAGGAGTTCTCCTCCCGGCCCACAGAGGAGGGTTTTGTATCGGAGGAAACATGCACACCCAAGGCCAGAGAGGATGAAGGGAGGGCTTACCCCCAACATTCCACAGCTCCTCCCCTCACCCCTAACACACTCCATGGGGCTGGGTTCCTGTTACCCTCTGGAAGATTCATCCCTTCCACAGGTGAGAAACACACTTCCCTCTCCTTCATAGGCACCAGACATTGAGAGCTGTGAATATGAACACTTTTCAATTCCACATTCAGGGCTGCTGTTCATTTATTCATTCGGTATACATTAATTGAACACATACTGTATGCTAGGTCTTGTTTTAGGAACTGGGGATACGGTGGGAAACAAGGCAAAGTGCAATCCTCAATTTGCGGACATCCTAGCGGGACAAGGCAGACAAAAAGCAAATACACAAATAATTAGGGAATTCCCTGGTGGTCCAGTGGTTAGGACTCTGAGCTGTCACTCCTGAGGGCACAGGTTCGATCCCTGGTTGGGGAACTAAGATCCCACAAGCTGTGCAGTGCGGCCAAAAATAAAAAATAAAGCAAATACACAAAATAATTATACAATATAACATAAGGTAGTGATTAAGAACGTACAGGGGGAACAAGTACGGGCCACAGAGTGATGGGTAAGGGGGATGGTCAGGGAGGGCCCCCAGAGGAGGTGACATTTGAGCAGAGACCTGGAGGAAGTGAGTGATGGAGCCTTTTCAAGATCTGGGGGAAGCGCTTCCAGATGGAGGGAACAGGATGCGCCAAAGCCCTGGGGTGGGAAGGGAGGTGGTGTATTTCAGGGATAAGGAGGGTCAGTGTCACTGGGCCACATGCAGAGAGGAGGATGGAGGAAGGTAACAGGTGGGGGAGGGGACAATGACGGTGGGTCATTGATGTGATGAAGGGCAAAGGGAGAGGGTTCAGGGTAGGGGATCTGGTGTGGGCTTTAGACAGACCCCTGGCTGTTGCCTGGGGGACACAACAGAGAGGGAAGCTTTGTGGCTGCATTTCCTTTTCCAAACCACCCACATTCTGGTCCTGGGCTGGAAGGATTGGCCTGTCCTAGGGGTTATGGAGCAGTGGGAAAAGCAAGGACTTTGGAGTCAAACAGAATGCCAGATTGGAGGGGGCAGATTCTGCCTGTGGGACCTACAGGGACACCTAAGCCTGCCAGGGTGGGATGGGGATGGGGTAGATCCAGTAGGCCAGCCTGTCTCAGGAGCTGGCCAGGAGGACGGAGACATCTGTGGACAGACCTCCAGGCCTCGGTGGGAGATGGTTGAGGAAAGCAAGGAAGGTTTGAGGGGTCTGGAGGTCATGGCCCTATTTCTCTTTTTAATAAGGAGGCCAGGCAGGACCCAAAGGTGTCCACCGGGGAGAATGAGAGGGCTGGGCCTTCCACTCGCCCCCTAAAACACCACTGTTTTATTTACATTGTACCAAGAGCACGTACCTTTGTAACTTGAGGCACGTGAATATATCGCCTGTCCGACTAGATACTATATTTCGAGTTGAGGTGGACTCGACCGGGAAGTACGCATTGAGGTGGGGGATTGGGAGGGCGGGCTCCACCCAATCCTGGCGACTCCTGAGGACGCGGACAGGGGGAGCAAGATGGGGAAGGGGTCCGGGTCTGCCGCCAGGCTGCCGCACTACGGCCCCATTCCCATCCCGGCCCCTGCCGCTGACCCTGACCCTTTGCCCCAGAGGGACCTGGAGGGCAGCGGGGCGGAGCTCTCTCAGGCCCCGCCCAGGCCCCGCCCCTGAGCCCCGTGAGGCGCCGGCCCCGCACTCCTGGCTCCGGCCTGCCAGGCAACAGCTCACAGCCTCCCGCCCCGCCCCTCCGCGCGTGACCTCGGCCCCGCCCCCTTGAGCCCCCGCCCCGCCCCCCGCCCCCCGCCCCTCTCTCCTCTGTCACTTCCTGATTCCCGCTTCCTGCTTCCCAGAGACTGGGATACGGAGCCACCCGAGGACAGTGCAGCAGCCTCCAGGCGTCCCTGGTGAGCGCGACGGGCCGGGGCTGGGGGCGCAGGCGGGGGGTTGGGCGGGACTTCGGGGGCAGAGCCGCAGGGGGCTGGGGTGGGGGTCGCGAGTCCGAAGAGCCCTTCCCCTCCGCGGCGCCCCACCCTCAGTCCCAACTCCCCCTGGCCGCTCAGCGTCTCCCCTGCCAGACCGGGATCCTTGAAGTTGGGCTCCTGCTTCACCTTGGACCCCCGCTCTGAGGGCGCTCTGGGATGCTCTGTGGCTGGGAGCGGCGTCCCGACCCCCGCCCAGTCCTGCCCGGCCCCCTGGACCGGCTTGGGGCTCCCTGCACATTCCTGCAGGCACTGCACATTCCGTGGGACCCAGAACTGTGGCCTAGCGCGGACCCACAACGGAGATCATTCTGGCCTCCTCTGTCTGTCCTCCCCATCA